AGAGAGAGAGAGAGAGAGAGAGAGAGAGAGAGAGAGAGAGAGAGAATAAGTGAAGCGGAGAGAGAAAGAGAGAGAGCTAGAAAGAGAGAGAGAGAGAGAAGGAGTAGAGTGAGGGAGAGAGGAGGACGCAAAGACGACGATGATTGCACGAGGGATGCGTCCGCGACGGAAGTACGAGGCACACTAAGGGCGTGGGCAATCGGAGCAAGGTCGGTATGGAGTTCTGAGGGGAGGACCCACATTGATTTTGATTTTCGAAGCGCGCGCATGAGTCTCCGTGTTCAGGTTTGCCCATTCATACGTATGGGACATTGGTCCTTAGTAAGTAGTATTCGCTCAATCGGTCCACATTCGACATCAACCTTTTCTTTTCCTTCTTTTCCTTCTTATCAACAGATTTTCTTTTAACCGATTAACGAACACATGTTGCGCACTTAATCTCTGTTATGTGAAATCAATTTGCTATTTCCATTTTTGATTCGTACGAGCTCAAATCATAGCTATGATACTTTTGTAAATCTTATAGAGAGAAATATCAAAAAGATAAAAAGTATAGAATTTAGAATTAGAAGTACGAAAAAAAAAATTATTTTATGAAGTATGTTATATATTTAAAATTATTTATGAAAGATTTTTTTTCGATATAATTTTTATATAAAAGTTTAAAATTAATTATATGTATATGAATAAAGAATATATAAAACATTTATTTTGAAAACATTAATTATTTGTACATTTTGATTTATTTTTAAATGGTCATATTTATATTTTTTTATATTTTGTTTATTATTATATCATTATATATTATTATCATATCATTGTATTGTCATTAAAAAATTTATTTATAATTATTATTTTACTTTTCAAATTAGAATATTAATATTCTTTTTTTTTTTATTCTTAAATAAAATTCTAATTATATTAAATTGAATAATTATAATATTGATAATTATTTTATATAATTCTACTCCTTGTTAATTGAGAGAGATTTAAAATATCCTCATATTTAACTGTTGTTATCTTTAATTATGTCATTAATTTTTGAAATTTTTGCAAAACAACAGAATACTTTGAAATAGATATTGTATTTCATTATTGAAAGCATATAAGTGATAAAAGATACGAAAGCGTTATTCACCACTCAAAGAATATTTATGTATAAGAGATATTATGAAGCACATAAAGAATACCACGAAAACAATCACAAGAATTACTAAGATGAATTGTGCTGAAACTTTATAAAATAGTAATCAAGAACAGAGAGAATGGATACTTTAAAAAAGAATGTCTGAACTGCGCAGGACAGTTATCGTTACGTGTAAATTAATTATATACAAAACGAAACATGTTTTCTAATTTCATAGTTGATAGAATAATACGATTTTTTTTTAATAAATAATAATTTTTAATAAATCACTATTTTTTC